GTGATGAGGATGGTTAAGATGGAGTATGACATGGATCTGTCATATGTTCTTGGAAGACAACTGCACTTGGTGGGACACAGGACCATGGGCTCTCAGATTTAAAGAACATGTCCTGCCTTTACTCAGATCCTCATGACATCCTGCTCCACCCTCCCTCCTTGTATAAAACCAGACAAATGTCATGCTCTGTTGGTAACCCTTAGCATCACGCAGTCTGGAAGACTGCCCTCAGAGAGCCTGTTGGTATGGAATCCTATTAGTTCCTGTTGTTTCAATAACCTTGCAGTAGCCTCGTTACATAACATTGTTAGAATCATAGTCTCAGGAATTGTTCGAATAACACCACGTTATTTATATAAAGCCTTCATCAACTCTTTATTTCAGAAGTCTCCAGGCAAAATGAGATCAGAAAGACCAATCCATTCAAACAAAAAGAAGCAAGTTTTTTGTTAACATTCATTCTTCCTTCTTAAGAAGGAATTTAGAAAAATCAATAGCTCCAAGTTATACTCAGAAGAAGGAAAAAGTAAGACGTTCCATCAGGATTTGTGGCTGGTCATCCACTATGTGAAGGAAGATGGGCACCATCTGGCCTTACTACAAAGTTGTTCACTAGACTCCTTTGGCCCCTTTGAGGACCAGAAGACCCAGATGTAAATGTGGCCTACTTGAGCAGGCAGATTTCCACCCACAGTTAGCCACCAGGGGGCTGTCTGTGTGGAACAGTGGTGTGGACTGACTGCATGGCTTTCCTTCAATTCATCCAAAACATCCCAGGGCAGCTTGGGAGGAAAGCCCAGGAAGTTCCCTGCAAAAACAAGTCTCCACTATAGAAGCTGGCAAGTTCTATGGTGCAGACTTCTTCAGGGCAAAGAATAAAGCACAAATTTCTCACAAAGGATAGAAGGGAAATGGAGCTTGTAGAGTCTAATGGGAGAGTCTTGGGGTCTGCAACTTTCTCTCTCCAAGTAGGCTGAAACCCTATTCATCCAGATACAGGAAAGGAGTACTTGACAGTTGTGGTTCCTGATTCTGTCAGCAGGGGTGGTGGCTGCTCCCCTGTCTGTGGAACACTCAGAAGAAGCTGGAATAAAACACATGTTGCAGGCTGGAAATGTAGAAAACTCTCTAATAACTAATTTTTACATTGTTCAGACAGTTGAGGATACAAATTGTCCTAGTTCTATTACACTGTGTGTTACAGGAATAAATGTGTATGTTGAATTATGAAGTAGAAATTATTTTAATGTTGCTTATAAGAAAATAAAACTCTGTTGTTTGAGCAGTTTGGTTCAAATATAACTTGGCACTGGTTGCATTTTAGCTGTCTGAGTAGTGGGTATTTTTCCAAGCAACCTAGCTCAGAAGCAAGTCACCAGCTTTATTTTTCTCACAACCTTCAGGACTTAGGTAGGAAACATTCTAGAACTGCTATTTGCCAAGGCAGAACTCTTCAAGGGTATGAATTATTTTTGTCCTCTGGGTTTTATTTGTATATTTCCAGGGCAAAGACAAAATAATGGGGTGTCCCATTATTAATGGGGTGTGGAGTGTTCCAACCTTGCACCACAAGGAGAGCCCAGGAGTGCATAATGTTGTGTGTGTGTGGCGGCGGTGGGGATACGCGGGTCGCCCCCTTAAGCACTAGCAAGGTATTTTCCAAACTTCCATTCCTAGGGTGACCGTGGGTATGAAAACCGCCAGACGGCCTGGCCAGCGGGAGGCCCTGGAAGCAATGGGAGCTCCGTGTCGTCCCGACACGCGCCACAAGTTGTTTGGGGGCGTAAAAAGGAGTGCAGCGGCACGGGGCGCGCCTGTCGCGCCGGGCAAAGAAGGCCATGCTCCTAGAAGTCCCCCGCCCCGTCCCCTTGACACTCATCTCCCATTCCTTCCTCTTCCGAAACTAGAGGAATGACGCCCAAACTCGAACCTTCGTGCCTACAATCGGGTGGGCGGACGTGCGGCCACCAAACCCGTGGCAACGTCACCACCCCTGGCAGGGCACGCCCGGTGGCTGGTACGGCCCGGACTGGGAGGAGGGGGAGCTCCCGCACCTGGGGAGGCAGGTGCGGAGGCGGTTGGCCCCGGGATGGTGTGTGTGGAGCGCCTGGGGTGAGGGTCAGAGAGTTGGGCACTGAGACCGCGTTGGAG